ATACAGTTTCTCCTTTTTGTGAATGTACGCAATATGTACACCCTTCCTGTCTATCCTAAAAAAGTAGCATACATATAAAAATACACGGCCACACCTGTAGGTTAGAACACTGCCAACAGGCATGCACATATAGCCTCTCCTTTTTGTGTAAGTACTCAATATGTACACCCTTCCTGTCTATCCTAAAAAAGATGTATTCATATATAATTACACGACCACACCTGTAGGTTTAGTACGGCCTCCAGCACAACCTGCAGCCGTTGTCCGATGCAATCATCAAACACCTGGTGAGAACAAAGTCACAATTGATGAGCACACGGCCCTCTTGATCTATAAATAGCACCCAATATAATAGAGCTTTGCCTATCCCGCTTTCCGTCGTTGTTTGGGGTTGAACATCTCGAACAACGGCAAGTGAAAGTCACCGATTTGTACATTTCCAGTCACACCCCTGAGGTGACGGTTGATATATACACCTACACCAGATATCTCACATATATCGAGGCTGACAGACAACTGCTACTATAGCAGGCTGTTTGCTGCTTAGATCTAGACACAGGCGTAATGATAGAGAGAAGAGTCGTATGCCTTACAGATGAACATATCCCAAACACGTGCACACGTGCACACATACACAATAATTCACCCAGCCACGCACTTAAAACACTACCGGCTAGCCAATCAATCCCAAATTTGGAACATCATCTAAATCAAATTTAGTATCACTGAAAACAAACACTGGTGCGCAGTGTCAACCACAAACCGGAATGTGTGTTAAAAATAGTAAACTTTTTGAAGTATATATTGAGGTGGTGATAGACTTTTTGGAAGAATATATCGGGTTGTTGATCAAATACAACCTTAAAATATCGAAAAGCACCTCATCTCCTGTGAATTGCACCTTCAATCAGTGCCATTCTCAGGTGAACCAACACCGCCTCGGGATGTAAAGCGCGAAACGGCATACGAATTGCAGAATTGCATTCTAGAACTACACACTCGGTCGGAAATTGCGTATAAACCGTTACAACACGTGTCGTAAAATAGATTAAACCCCTCCTAAAGCAGATCCACCCACTCCTCACCTCCTGGTATGTCGACTGCTGCAAACTGGCAGACGGGTCTAGTATCAACGGGTGCGTTTCGTCCACAAAGGGTCCCATCTATGCATGTGAGAGAGAGCCAAACACGCGAAGTAGGTGTGCGAAATAAGTCAACCAACGTATTGAGAAGTGGAAATAGGCAACTAAATGCGCGAATTAGGCAGTCAAATGTGTGCACAAAGCAACGAAATACGACGAAAAGGGAAGCAGCGGGTGAACAAGCCGCAGGAGGGCCTGTGAAACTGGTAAGGAAATGCTGGACAGAGCGTGTGTCACGTGTCACGGTA